GCTAGCTTTAAGAAGGGAAGCAACAGGTGCTCTGTTCTTCTGATATTCCTGTTTCATTATGAAAAGAAAAAGTATCATCTGATTTACTTACCAGCCTATTAAATCCAAAGTATTTTTTATCTATCACACTAGTCACTAGTTTTGTTATATTTTTAATAACTTCCTCTTCCAAATGGGGAAGGTGATTTTTATTTTTACTGTACAAAATGTTATCCTCCTCTGAGTTTCTAAAACACTCAGCAAATTTACTCATACAGCAACTTCCATCTATTTCACAAAGTATTACTACACTACTGCAGGAACTCAAATTTTTGTTTAATATAGAAACATGTAAAGAATTCAGTAACAGCAACCTGGAAAAAGGAAGACTACGAGACATTTACAGCAAACTACTTTTTTAGATCGAGATATATTTCCAATTGGTAGAAATGTAAGTATGACGTGATCCAGATATTATTGAAGTTAATAAGACATTCAATTGGAAAAACTGAGGTACAAAAAGAGAACAAATAACCTGCACAAGATCTGACTGCAGACACAGAAATTGAACTCCTAATTGTCATGTTAGGGCTCTATTTCTAAATAATGCACCATTCTTAGAGATGACTTTTCACTTTCTTAGGCTCTGGTATTTTTGGAGGACAGTTAGGTACTTGACAGGCTAATGTTAGAAAGAAGGTTTGGGAGAAATCTTTGCAGCTATAAACCTGCCTATTTACTCTGCAGGAAGACATCAGACCTATTTCAAAAAATCATGCAAATAGAGTCATATTTTAAGTATTTTAACATAGCAAACAAAATCTTCTCACAATGATTAAATGTATGTAAACTCAAAAACAACATTGTAAATCCACAGTACTATTTTTTTATCTGTTTTTCAAACTGTTACACATACTCTTGTGGTTACATATATTTTTAAAATAGTCACAAACTTCTGCAAGCCAATGAAGTAAACCTCCAGGACAGTATCATGGCTTCAAAAGCTTTTTTTTTTTTCTTCCATAAGGGTTTATAATCTGACTTCAATAAATAAAAATAGCTATGAAAAAATAATAATAATTTTGGTTAATTAGTTTTTTATATCAGAACAATAACATGCATAACAGTACTAGAGCATTGAATAATGTAGCCACTGCTCATAATCCTTCATGGATTGGCTTTGACCAACTTTATGCCATCCCATTTTTCAGATATGCTTACTTATTTCTGCCCAGAATTACATCTTCAAATGTAATTTGAAGCCAATTCCCCTAACATAAACTATAAAACATAACATCTGGAAATCTTATCAAAGGATTTTTGGAAGTAATATGACAGGAGGAAGACAGGTAACAGCAAAAGGACAAACTCTGGAGTTTTACAACTGAAAGTAGAGTGTGGTATGAGGAAGATTTTATTGTAGCTGGGCTAGATTTCTTTTTCTTAGTTTCACAAATGCCACATCCTGGCTAAACCACAAGGACTTCTGTAGTCAGGTTCCTACCGCTCATGATATGTGCTTGCAAAGTAGAGAAGATGATGTAGAAACTATGAGGATTACAACAGAATCACTCATATATAATGAATCCTCTCCTGATGTTTACTTACTTACCTACTAAACTACATGATACTGGTTTTTCACAGCAATAAAAGTTCAATTTGACCTTTTCCACCCCAATGCAAATTTTCATCTGCCACATTTTTAATCTCAATATATTTCTGTTACCCATTAATCTTTTCCCCGTTCTCTCTATCAAAACGGTTAGATACCCCTTAGACACCTACGAAACTTTATTCCAGGCTGTTTCAGCTATCATTGTTTTACTGTGGCTGTCTCCAGTTCCAAAGTACCACTGTCATCTCATTTCTGCTACTTTACAAACTCAGCTAAATAAAGATATGAAAAGCCTTCATGATAAAAGAATCTTTCAAATCTATGTAATTTCTATTTCTATGAAAATACATTACACTTAGGTATGCAGATGAAGAAACTAGATCTATTTCAGGTTAGAAGTTAGAGACTTTGCTCTGTCAGGTTCAAAACAGAGACAATGCAACTTAAATAAATAATGATATATCTTAATATCAACGCTATTTCTGATTTTGTTTCTCTTAGAAAAGTTAAAGAGAAGCTACTTACCCATAAACATGATACCTCTGCATATTCTCATTTGTGGGTACTGTGGAATGATTCACATTTCTGGTGCTGATGACCTTTGGAGACTGCCTGGAAAAGCAGTGCCTGTTGGGACTACATGAGCATTCCCTGGTGATAATGGATGATCACAAATGTGATCCAACATGGCTTCTCTCTTTTTTTTTTATTTATGCCTAGCCTCATATGACAATGCAGATCTCTACGGTAGAGAGGGAAGTAGTACCAGTGTGCTCTCTGGCACAGAAACCACCTCCCAACCTTTACTTCAATTATCTTTGTGCTTGCAGGCATAAGGAAACAGAATATAGGTTTTCACAAATATCATATCCTGCTAAGACCTCTGTGTCAAAAAGGAGTTTTACACAGATGAATGCTAGTATGAAGATGATATCAAGTATCCAACAAACTAGCAGCAGAACAAATATGCCAGGAACTGCCACATACCCCTTCCCAGTGAAGCCAGGTACCAAGGGCAGGCATTGCGGTCACTACCTTAACAGTGTTTCCACAGCAGCACGATAACCTCAGAAAGTGATTGAAGATAAACATAAATGGTTAGGGGCAAAAGGCTTATGCTTCCCCCAGTATGACGGTTTTCAGACTAGACAGTGGTATATTTGTCTCTCTGCAGGAATGGAAGAACATCTTAAGGACAGTACAAACAAAGTCCCTCATAGTGTCTCAAAGACAACCTCTCTGCCAAGGGTCTGGTAAAATTTCAGTAGGCCCAGCAGTGCTGCAGAACAGGGTACTCAGAGATGAATGTAAACTCCAGGAACCAAAAATAAAATACATTGATTCCAGTCTATCTATCTCTTTTATTCTCTCTTTCTCATCTTTTGGAGTTTGCTGGCTTATGAAAGATACAGAGAGAGTTGAAGGCTGTTTCAGTCCAGACATCTAGCTACCCAATGGCACAGAAATTAAGTACAGGTTCATTGTAAGTTTACTCAAGCAATCCGAACAATAACATTGTCCACTACTGATAACTGTGACATGAAGAAGGTTGGTAAAACTGAACAAATCCAGTGTTCACAGAGCACAGTTCTTTGAAAGCAGAATGATTCAAGAGCTAAAAATCAATTGAGATAGTTGGAAACTATAGAGATCATCTATGAAAGGCTCTGTCAGCAGGGCTCGGGCTCAGCTGTCCATGCGGCACTGCATTTCTTGGAAGCCCCTACAGCTCACTCAGCAGCACAAAAGGACTTCATTTGACAAGTAGGGATATGCAGAGACCACTTCAGAGAGGAACAATGGGCTGTTTTTCCCACAACCACAAAAATAATTTATTTTAAAAGCACAAAAATTAGTTGACCTACAATTCTGTCTTTTATGAAAAATTGTAATAAAGTGTCATGCCAAAAGAAGTAACAGTCACAGAGGAAAATATTTTGCACAAGGGGGAAGATTCTGGCTGGCAGAACTGCTATTTTGCTGTTCTTAAGTTTGGTAAAGCCACAGGCAAGATTTTTTTTTTGTTTTAAATTCAACAGTGAATGCTGCAAACAGCTAGAAATAAGAAAATATCACAGTGTCCATGAGAAACAAAAAGTACAAAAGAAACGATGAAAAAAAGACTAGTAAACATTGTGTGAGAGAAGCAGCCTAATGATGAGAACACAGATCACAGGCTAGGCAGAAGCAGATTAAAAGGAGACCAACTATAACAAAAATGTGAAAATTAAAAGCAGCTAAATTAAATATCAGTCACATGCTACCTTGCACACAGACATGAAAGAGAAAACTTAGCAGGCAAAAAAAAGGAAAGGGAAAGGGAAAGGGAAAGGGAAAGGGGAAGGGGAAGGGGAAGGGGAAGGGGAAGGGGAAGGGGAAGGGGAAGGGAAGGGAAGGGAAGGGAAGGGAAGGGAAGGGAAGGGAAGGGAAGGGAAGGGAAGGGAAGGGAAAAGGAAAGAAGGGAAAGGAGCCTAAAACAATATAAAACTGAGATAAAACCAAAGGGTCGGTTGGTTACTGAAGACAGCAAGGATGAGCAATGGACAGGGAAAAGGAGGGTCAGAATTGGGACATCAGCAAAGGAAGCAATGGCATGTCTTTTTCTCTATTTCCCTTTGACATACTGTGCTGTACATTTCAGAGACTCTCCCAATAGCTGCACCACCTCAGCCCCAGGATTCATTAACCAGCACTGTTCAAACACATGTGAGTTTAAACACGTTTGCACATCACAAAGATGAGGGAAAAGACTACACTGGCATCTAGGTTTATAAAGCATCAAGATAACATGAGGGAAAGTTATGACAATGATTTTACTGTTTTGACAGTCATAACTTTCTTCTCCACACAAACATGTTTCTTGCCTCCGATAACCAGAAACACAACACTACTTACCAACACCCTTTAGCGTATGGATGTAGTCCCACAGAGCTATGTATGGGCTCTTCAGAAAAGAGCCTATTGGACCTGAGAGCCTATTCTGAGTCACACAGTACTGACTAAACGCACATACAGGAGTCTGCCATGGTGAGACAAAAACTGAGCAAACTAGTGTTGACTTAATCATAGTATGAAAATGTTTTGGCTTTTACTTGAAACCATTGTACTCAAAATCCTGCTGAGATGATCACAGCATGCACAGTAATCAAGTACCTCACTTGCCACACATCTTTTCAAACAATAGCTAAGGCAGTCACCAAATGGAAAAATTATTATGTGGTTGTTTATACCATATCCTGTTGACTGTTGGTTTTACATTTACAAAACCAGCAAATACACATACCAGAGAGAAAAATAATGATTCTTCTAAAAAGCCATAATTTTATTGCAGTAATGGAAAGGCGGATGCAGAGATTTATTGTATATTTGAATATACTGCAAGGTAAAATTGTCCCGTGTTACCCACCTTGATCTCTTTCATGCCATGTCCGACTCCCCGCAGGTGGTGAATTTGGAGAAGGATAAAAGTCTCCTGTTGGGCTTGGCTCCATATTTTCATCTATGGAGATAGTTTTGGGTCTTTTGCTGTTGAAGTAATGTGAGATTTGGCAGTGAATATGGTATGCAGCTAGCAGTGGTATACAAACTGTTTGGATTTCAACAAGGATTTCAATAGAAAGTAATTCAGGCATACAAAGCACAAAAAAGTGGGTATTAGAGCTTACATTAACTTACATAGATAATGTTATTTAATAATACGTAATGCAAGTATGTGCTTGCATTTTTCACATGATTTAGTATTTCAGAGATGGCATGAATGAGTAACATACAAAAGCCCTAAGTGTTCTCATTCAACCAGCATTTGGCTGAACAACCAAGAAATCAGTTCCTGTAACCTACCAAAGAAAGGTTGTGTCATGAGAGTCTTAAACACTACGCAGAAACCACGAAAGCAAAGCAAAACACTGGAAAAGGATTACTAATAAAGTCAAGGTAAAACAGGAACTTTTCTGAACGTGTTAAGAAGGAAAAAAATGAAATTGACTGCATTTCACCAGGTCAAAATCCTAAGCTTTTCAAAGAGGTCTTAACCTGAAACGAAGACTTTTCATTTTAGACTAGTTTAATTAAAAACAACAAAAGGCCTGTATTTCAAGTCACACTACATAAAATGAGGCAGCACTTCAGTACAGTGGGGGGAAGTCAAGTTTCTTTGTAACAATATATACTGAAGCTGTTGTGCTGACTGCCAAAGAAAACCAGCATGAAGGTTTTAATGGTGGTAGTATTATTAATAATAATAT